TGTTCAAGTATTTCTTCCGGCCTTGTTGTTAGAACAACTTTCTAGAAGGCTATAGGGTTCTGTTCATGCATTGGATATTGACGCTTGGGCCTATCCTTTTGGGGTTATCGACAAGTCTTTTACAAGTAAGTAAAAATTATATACCGTACTTGACCTTAGTGTTTTACCCTTTCTCCACGACATGAATATTGCCTTTGGAGCTGATGAGAGGAGCCGCAAATACGCCCCAAACAGTCGGTACAATTGGATGCCATGAAATCTGAAATTCGCAGACCTTGAACTGTGTGCGATGTTTATAAAGCGCTTCCCTACGAAAGCCGCAGTATTGATGATGAACAATGACGCATGCTTACCGCAGCACTGCTTTGTGTGCAGTTAAAATACTGAAGTCGTCCGCGGTCTTCGTCGGGTGCATATTTTGCACTGTTCGAGGCACATCGTTATGTCTTTTAAAAGTTTTGACATGCTTCTCGTTTCAAGTTTCGGATTCAGTTTTGGTTTTTTTGCCCAATTAAAGTGATTTCCTGAAATTTGGAAATACCGCATATTCACGGAATGCATGTAACATTAACCTTGGACCTGCTGAATATTTTCTTTTTATTATTTCATTTTTCGATCAAGGAGTACAAATTTCCGTGGTATCACTGATGATGAACAAGGTGTTGATGTAGCGAACAAAATGATATGCTCGGTGTCTACACACAACAGCTGCTAAAATTAGCATGTGGTCGCAACCTTGAATGCTGTTCAGACCCCACACGTCTGAGAAACAAGGAGACTGCCGTAACGAAGTAAAACAATTTGGTGAATTGGTGTCTTCTTTGAGTTATCATTGCCGTTTTCGCACATTAAGAAGGCAGAAAGTTTGACTTGTTTAGATCGGTTTCATGCATAAATATTTCTTTAGGCTTTTCTGCCACATATGGCAAAGCATTACAACTTCTCATATGAGCTTGTACAGTACAAATGGCCGCGCTGGCTCCATCAGCAAAGCGAAAAACATCGTGTGATGTGGGGGTAAGTGTTTTTGTCTATTCTGTCAGCACTGTTTTCCGAACGACATGGCTGGTTTTCTAGTTATAAGATTCTGTTTCTGGATGTCCTCTTTCCACTTGACGTTCGAAAGATCATCTTCGTTGACGCAGACCAAGTTGTCAGGGCGGACATGTTAGAGCTTATGCGCTTTGATCTTGAAGGTGCTCCTTACGGCTATACGCCGTTTTGCGACAGTCGCAAAGAAATGGACGGTTATCGGTTTTGGAAGCACGGTTACTGGGCGAATCACTTGGCCGGTCGAAAATATCATATCAGGTTTCTTGCGGTTGCAGAATGTTCATGACATTCTGTTAACAATGCTGTCTTCTGTTTTCAGTGCACTTTATGTTGTTGACTTGAAGAAATTTCGGCGGGTAGCTGCCGGTGATCGTTTACGTGGTCAGTATCAGGGATTAAGTTCGGATCCTAACAGTTTGTCGAACTTGGATCAGGTATTGTTCCGTCTTTTGTCTTCTTCCCCACATCATTCAACAATTTAACAATTATGTAATTTGCTTAAGGATCTTCCGAATAACATGATTCATCAGGTAAAGGTCAAATCACTTCCCCAGGATTGGTTGTGGTGCGAAACGTGGTGCGATGATAAATCGAAAAAATACGCAAAAACTATTGATCTGGTGAGTCAGCAGTTTTGATTTGTGATATGTTGCATATGTTTTCTTCGATAAATTTAACTCAATTTTACTCATCCTAATTTTTCAGAGCTAAAATTTTAGACATGTTAGTACATGAATCTGTAACCAGTCGACGAATGAACTCACCCTGATAAAAATTTCACGGTGTTCTAAACGTAATTAAGTTTTCAACTTGGTTGTACCTTATGTTAAATTTGCCAGAGGTGCTTAATAAAAGACCTGCTCTTTATCTCAAATTAGTAACAATGCTAGAAAGTGCAGCTGCTAGTAACAATGCTAGCCAGCAAAAAGAGGTGTAGTTTCTTGATTTTTTGTGAACGTTTAATGACTATTCTGTTTGAGAACTTTAAGTGCAGATCAAATTACTGGGATATATGGAACATCTCATAGTACCTCGCCTTGAAATCGCGCACAGAGCTTGCGTAATTGACGATTGACGGAAGACCACAAACGATTGTCAAACTCTTGAAGTTGCTGCTCCTAGAACCCGAAAGGAATAGCAAGCTATGAAAACGAATAAACGAAGTGAATAGATTTAAACTGCAAGATCAGCTGATGTAGATTCAGGTTGCTGCAGTCGTTTGCAGCATTGATCTTAAACAACATTAACATGAGATATACGTAGTCACTGGCAGGACTAGACCAGATCGCCAGCCTATGACTGTCTTAACAGGTAATTGCGTCGTTCCATTTTTCCATGGTTTGTACTAGAGTACGAAGGGTGGATTAACTAAAGGCATCTGAAAACAGTCGAAAAAGGCTGTTTCTTTTATGAGAGTTAACCGCATGCAGTTCGGCCGTGAAGCAAGTAGATTTTCATATGCTCCATCACCGCAGATAATGCTGATCCGTTAGTATAGCCGAGGAACCTAATTCTCTGACCTAGGACGAACCGATGGAATAATTAATCACATCGAATTCTGTGATAAATGCGCATATAACTCCCTGTTTATGAGAAGTATTCTACTAGTATTTTATGGAGGGCATGAAACGCTTGCTGATTCAGTAGACAATTATGCTGTTTTAGGTCTACTTAAGCATTTATGTAATTTCTACGTTTTGATTACTCGTGTTCGGCGCTAACTTTTGCCTTGAAACATTCTTTTCAGTGCAACAATCCGATGACTAAAGAGCCAAAGTTGGATTCAGCCATTCGAATAATTGAAGAATGGCGAGATTACGACGAAGAAATCAGGCGTTTGAAGAATCGTTACGAAGAGAAACAGTCAGTTGCATCGAAGCAGCTTCTAGAAAAAGACGGCAGTGCAAATGCGAAGGAACGTACGTATTAGAATGCCTCATCAGAGCGAATATTAGTCGAGTTAAAACTTAACAGTACTGGTATCTTATTAAGATGAAGAACTAACAAACTTTTAATGGCCTCAGTTTATGCTTCTTGAATTTCTCAAACATCTTTGTTAATCGCACGGTTGATTCTTGACTCAGGGCTTTTTATTACACCTTAGAAAGAGATTCAGCATATGACATGACACTGATTCTGGAGTCGATAAAACGATTAGTTTTGAATTGTAATGCATATAACCGTCTACATAGTCTTCACATGTAGCATATTGCCATATCCGCCTTTTTCAAAATCGCAATCGACCTTGGTTTGGTAGAATTAAAATTTGCTTTAGGTCATGTGCTGACCTTTATCTTCATCAGTTGCAAACGAGCAGTGGCGTAGTTCGTTAGGTCCCGTTGCACAGTGTCTTATTGGACCGGCAGAGTGAGAATGCGATTAAGGGAGGTTCATTGAACTGTTGGCACAATGCAGTGTTCATCAACCTCTTACCGATTGTAAATCCCATTGACCATGCCGTAGTCGTACAGTCGGAACATTAACCAAATTTTACGTCGGCACATTGTTGCAAACGTACCCGGGGACGCAGTATGCCGGCGGTGATGTTTGCTTCATGACCTTAAAGTTGAGGTGGTAATCGGTTCAGATATCGGTTACTGGCTTCCACTTATTTTGTGTTTAGCGCAGTTTCCAGGTGTCAGAAGGATTCAAGGCTAAACATTGTGATACAGCGTATGCAGCAAATGGCGTTTCTCTGTGTTTCTAAGGTTGACTTTTGGCGTGACATCTGTTCCTTGAGACCGTTTCACATTATACGTGCTATGCAACTTGCTCATTTTCTGAGTTGTGTGGTTATATTTACTTTGTATGCTCTAAGTTTTTGTCATGAATGCACTCAATGTAGTTCAACATGCGCACACTCCCGCAGTATTATCGTTGTTCGCCTTTCGCCGTGTAATCATGAGTTGGTCATACAGAGTGCAATGCTGCTTGCATAGGAATGATTAGATGGTAACTTTTCCAGAACGTATTTTCTGGTGTTCTTTTTATGCAGATTGCGCAGAGTAAAGATAAGCTGCAAGTTAATTTATACGGCGTCCCGCTTCGGTGGCGAGTTTGTATCGCTTAAAGTTTGCGCGGCCTCAGTTCAAGCTGACCGTTCTGCAACGTTAAATGCAGATAACCTTCGGTTTTGTCGTAACAGCTGTAAACAGATTGCGTTTTTAGCACCTTCAGGTGGTACGCACGAAGAGCTTTAACTGCGGTTTACCACTGTTCTGTTGTTGAGTTGTTGATATCTTTTTGTTGTAAACTGTCACGTTGATTATTAAATTATGGTTTCGGCCACCAATCTTCGCTTGCTTTGATTATCTGCACGACGCGTTTCGCGACCGTTCCTGCATTGTCGTTGGTTATTCCTTTCTGAATCGTTTTACAGCTCGGTTCGCCCTGTTTGGAACAGTATGTAACGACGACCAGCGCCATCTGCATCCGTAGCAGCCATGACCACTCGAATGTGAGTCGCTGTGAAACGTTTTTCACAGCCAGTTTATTTTTTATTTCATGTTTTTAGTCTATAACCAGTTTATTTTGTTTTCTTCCACCAGTTTACTTCTCATTTACCGTTTCTTGCATTGTTTACAGATTTACTAATCTTTAAAAACTCACGCGCGTGGTTGAAAAATTCTCAGAGCTAGCCAACTGTTGTTGTTAATTAATGTGAAGAAAATGAACTTTTTTTGGTGTTGGAAGTTAAAAAGTAAAACAAATATTTCAGATGGTAGTTCAGTAAAGGGCTGTTATAATGTACTGTCTCGTTTTGACAGGAATTTTGTTGCCGTTTGCAATATCTTCGTTTGTAAGCAATTTTTAATCAGAACTTTTCTGGTAAATTAATATCTCTTGCCATTGCATGCCATTGTTTCTTAGGGTTATGAATTGGTTCCTAGCTTCAGCTGAATTTTCTTCAAACTAGGCTGGCGGATTCATTCTAATTCCACGCCGTGATAAAGTACACTGCTTTCTCTGACGTACCACAGAAGGCCCGCGCATAGACTTGAATTCCGCCAAAGTTTCTGTCAGTAAGCTAGTCCTTGATCAAGTCAGAAAAAATATATAGATTTTTGACTTCATTTCAGCTTGTTCAGTTCTGTTAAACAGTGATGCATTTTAATATTCACTGCCCATATTTCTGATCCGTGGTCGAGGTTTTGGGCACTATATGCGAGCTTTTGTCGTTCTGTAAAACTTCGTGCCACATTCTTTTCATCTTCGGTTTCTTATGATATTACCACTCTGTGAACCACGTGCTCTACCTAGAACTCGCGCTTTCATTTCGCATAAAAAACAGAAGGTATTTACCATCATTCGGCTTTCCTGACGAAGTTGCTCCCTCATATGTCCATTTTGAAATTGTTTCATGTGTGACCCTATACTGTGAACATTCGCGTTTGTACTGACTTCAGGTGCTATAACACTAATGATATGCCGCTATTATGTAGACCTTTCCATTTGGCTTTATGGGCATTTTTCCAGCCATGGAGTACACTAGAATTTTCGTTTCACTTGCACCATGAGTTCAAAATACTTTGGTATTTCCTCCGTTTCCCCGGCTGAAGCATTTTGTCGTGTTCTTTCTGAATTGAAGCCCGTTTTTCATGGGACAACTTTCTACATTTTTTCGCCTTCGCTGTTTCTCTGCACTGAACTACATTATCTGCATAGACTATATACAGTGAAACTGTTTGCAGTGCATCTTTATTTAACACATCTTTCATGATCATAAAAATATTCGCTACTGGCAAATGATCAACCCCCGTGTACAAACAGAATGTACTTCTGCTGTCGTGGTAATCCAATCTGTTTTGGGTGAGCCTGTTATACTACACGGTGCTTAAATTTTCTCATGTTTTACCATAGTAGCTTCCTTGTTATGTCGTCAGTATTCTCTTGATGTAAGTAAACTATCCAGATATCCCATTTTAGTTTCCTTATCTTTCTCAAACTAATGAGTACACAAGAGTAGAAGCAGCATTTGCCGTTGACTTCCCTTTAAGGAACAGTTGATTTTCTGTTACGTAAATGGTATTACAGTATGAAACTGTATGCCATGTGTTCTTAGTATCTTCTTTCATCAGCCGTCTTTTCAACATTTTCTACAACTTCGTGACAGTTTTGAGATGCTTAATTCAACGATAGTGTTCGCAGGCTGGTATTTCTTCCTTTGATATTTATCGCTAGAATATCATTTTTAAAATCCTTCTCCATAACTGCACTTCATGATTTTATTATGCAAAACAATTTCTCTGGCTTTGTTTTCCATCTGTCCATGGAAATACCATCTAATTCAATACCGTTTATCGTTTTATTCAAAACTTCAACTTCATTGATGAAATTCTTTTTCACCCTTTCCTGTTCTACTCATACAGAGACTGCTAAAACATCATCCTCATGTCACAGTGTGTATTATTATTTACCAGTGCGTTTATTATTACTTCACTTCAGAGAGGAGGAAATTATTCTTATTCTTTTTATGGCGGAGTCAGACGGGTCAGACAGTGCTCCCAACGTTCCCGATCCTTCGCTAGCGTCCCTGCGGCAGAACATAACCGGAGACTAGAGCAGCGTCCTTCAATACACTTGCACCAGGTTAATCTTAGCCTTTCCTAGGGTCTTTTGCCGTCAGCCGGACAGGTAGTAGTTGTCTGGCCTTCATTTCTGGAGGCATGCGCAACACGTGCCGAAACCATAGCTTCGTTTTTTCAGTCTGAAAAAGTAGCGGCTGTACGCCAAAGCTTTCTCGGATTTCTGTACTATGGACTGTATCGAGACCTTTAAGGCCAGCGACTCGTCTCAGAAAGCCCGGTTCGGCCGTTTATACCCGGGATCGAAGCTTTTCAGTCGTGGTCCACGACTCATGACCGTAGGTCAGCATGGAGATAAAGGTCGACTTGAACATTGAGAATTTAGTTTTCAGACTGAGCTCTGCTTTAGCCTCAATAGA